ATGAACACAAAATGCTCGTATAACATGAGCTTGCTCTGCTGCTTACAGCGAAAACGTCCTTTCACGCCTATAGGGCCCTGTCAGACCGTGGAAGGCATGGTGAAGCACGCTCTTGCGCAAGCTGCTGACGGGGTGGTGGAAAGCTATCACTGAATTGAGTTCGCGAATGCCTAGGGTGGGCAAGCGTGCTTGAGCACGGCCCGCCGCACCAAGCCAAGCTTTGCTCTTCAAGGTAGCCATCGGACTAGCTATTAGCCGTTCAATCCACAGATGGACATGGCCATGAACGCAACATGCTCGTATAACAGGAGCTTGCTCTGCTGCTTACAGCGAAAACGCCCTTTCGTGCCTACAGGTGTCTGTCAGACCGTGGAAGGTATGGTGAAGCACGCTTTTGCGAAAGCTGCTGACGGGGTCGTGGAAAGCTATCACTGAATTGAGTTCGCGAATGCCTTGGTTGGGCAAGCGTGCTTGAGCACGGCCCGCCGCACCAAGCCAAGCTTTACTCTTCAAGGTAGCCATCGGACTAGCTATTAGCCGTTCAATCCACAGATGGACATGGCCATGAACGCAACATGCTCGTATAACAGGAGCTTGCTCTGCTGCTTACAGCGAATGCCACGGGTCGGGCTTTCTCACCGAGGGACATCTGCTGCACTTGAGCTAAATGCAGGGGATTGCTCCTTCTTCTCCTGCAAGCAGGGTGTCGATCAATGAATTTGACCTGTGACGAGACACGTTGCCTTTGCGGATGCCGCGTTTCTGCAAAGGAGGCTGCTGGTAGCGGCAAAGTGATGGAGAGACTGCTAAAGGACAAAGTCTTTCAGTGTGTTGCTTCGGGTTCCGCCGCGACATGAACTGACTTCAAATGAGCGCATGAAGCTGCCCTACGACGCTGCCAGCTGGCAGACGTTCGTTGCAATGATTGTCCTGTGCCAACTGGCAGGCCAAAACAAGGCCTGCCAAAAGGTCCTGAGCAAAGCAATCACCTCTTGACGAAGTTCAATGGGTGCTGTCAGCGGAAGGTGCTTTGCTCTTGAGCCCGGTGATCGCGAGGTTTAGCAATCCGCATGCGCTAGCTCAGGCGAGACAATGGCCTCCCGGGCATGTGAGCCCTTGAGCAGCTGTGCCAAGTAGCTTTCAGAACGAGGCTGAGACTCTGCAAAGGCCCAGATTCAAAGAGACTTGGGCAATGTTGGAGAAAGCGAGCCTAGCCACTTGCCCTTTCTGTCTCCAAGCTGTTCAATGGCTGAAATGCTCCTTGCGACATCGCGTAACAAGACACTCGTCCAAAGTTTGTCTCAGATGTCGCTGAGCATGTCCTGCTTGTTGCTCATTTAAAATGATTATGAATCCACCGCCCGCAGTTTGCCGACGGCCTGGCCGACTCGGCAAAAGAGCGACGGCTCCCGCTGCTGTTGTGGCCTGCGCTGGCTGTGCGGTGAAGTCAAACATGTCATTGTTGTCACATGCCTTCATTTGGACTGACTTGGAACGGGCAAACGCAGAGTTGCGGTGACTAGCTGGGCAATCTGCAGATCTGCACTTGAGATAGTCCGCTTTCAGGCCTTCTAGCAAGCCGAACGAGGCCTCTGCAAAAGCATGTTTCACGCGCCCGCGCTTGATCTCAGTTTTGCTCCGGCGCAGTATGCCAGAAGATGTGCGGCTGTAGAGGTGCGCTAAGGCCGTTTGGCGCGTGTTGTGTGTCGCTAGTCCATGCATTGTGCAGGCGTAATGTAGGAAGAACAGGGCAACAGAAAGGGCATCCTTGGAGAGTTGTTCACTTGGACACAGCGCTTTGTGCCCAACTAGCGGTGATTCAGTGGCCATGTCAAGTCTGCCTCGGTGCTACTTTACCCTAATGACACGCCCTTCAATCCAACGCCACGATGTGAAGGAGCCATACTGCCTCTAGAGGTGTTTGTCACAGATCAGATATGGGCGCAAAGCCCAACACATCGAGCTTGAAGCGAAACAGCAAGCTGTGCACAGAAGTTGTGCCATGCATTGCTTTGAAGTCTTGCAGGATGTTGGTGGCATAGTTGTGAGGCGTATTTTCAGGTAAGAGGCTATTTGAAGCATGCTGAGACAGTGCCTGCGCCGTCTCTTTCGGGGCAAGATCGCCATTGGATATCCTATGGACAGTCTCGATTGCTCCTGACCTAGCAAAGCCAGCTCAGTGCTTGCCACCAATTTTGCGAGCCATTCGCGTTGTTGTCATTGCTTGAGAATTCTCCATGCCTCTAGCTGATAGAATCTGTGAGCAAAACCAAGCTGAATCATGGGAATGATGCTAGTGAAGCCTGCGGATGGTCGAGAACATGTCAAATTTTGCAATTGCGCCACTCAGCGGTTAGAACTTGTACTTGTGAAACATCACCTGGATGGAAGGGCGACTTGCCATTGTTCACCAAGAAGCTTGCTAAGATGAGAACTGCTTTCGCCCCTTTGAGATGGAATCTACCGCATGATGTGCTCAGATGGCTGTGTTGCTCGCGCACTTTCGCCCTGCCTTTAGACTCTGCATGATCGGAGGACTGCAAGCACCTTTCCTTATCTGCGCCCGGGGGCAAATGGCTTCCGCTTCCTTGTCGAGTGTGCTCACCGCCCGTGAAGTGACTAAGTGCCATGTGGCAGCGCCGGTACGGAGCACGAGTCCTTCGTCTTGCCCCTGATCCCCGCGGCAGTCTTGTTCACGTTTGAAGTCTCCTTGTCATTGTGCCGTTCTTTGTTTGGTGCACTGCATCACTAGTGCGTCCTGGGCGGACCTTCCCACATCGAGGATGTTGTCTCGCTGAGTCGTCTCACTTCCGCCAAGTGCGTAGAACATCCACCTGCGCAGGTTTGAGGTGATTTTGCCCGGATCAAGATGACATTAGGCAGCAGCACGCTGTTTGTGCAGGAAAGGCTTAATCTTGCTGCGACTCAGCCATCAAGCTGCGACTCGACGTGATTTCGCCTCAGCAGGCCGAGACACCGCTGGGATGCAGAGCATGCTGAAGTGTGGCATGGAGAAGCAAATCAGAGTCTCTGCTCCTCATCCCAGCGGAAAGCCATTTGTGATCCTGGCAGGATGAGTGCCATACTGCCTGTTTCGTGTGAGCCAGCGCGTTGCTCCGAGTATATGATGACAAGCTCAGCTTGTGCTCGCTTCTACGCCTTCCTTGCCAGCTCGCTGGAGGGGTTGACTCAAGCTTTACTGTGTTTGATCAAACAGTTCGGGGATGAGTCACAAACCGTGAAGCAGCAAAGTAGAAGGAGCCGGACTGACTCTTGCTGCAAGACCAGGTCTGCAAGCGTTGAACACTGTTGTCAACAGCCCCAGTGAGGGCCCAGAAGGAGCAGCATTGTCAGAGCTCCGATGAGGTGAGCCTGTTGAGATCACGCAGCTATTTTCTCACATAGCTTGCACAGACCGGCTTGGCTTCGTAATGCCAGTGAAGCTTATTGTTTTCAGAGAGAAAGTTTGCAAGAGGGCCGTGATGGAGAAACAGGGATTTTGCTCTATGACAAGCTCGTCCATCAGTAGCAAGCCTCCCATAGTGGATTTGCTCCGAGTTGTTTTATTTTGAGACTGATAGCTTGGTCGTAAGAGAACCTTTTACTCTGCAGGTTGAGATGCCTGGAATGATTTGCCAGGCTGAATGACGCACGCTTGCACCGGCTTTGCGAATTTTTGCTAAAACTTAGCAGTGTACGAATGCCCTGTACAACGAAGCTAACAGACTTTTAGTGGCTCCAGATTCGAGAACTCTGACTTTCAGACAATTTGCCACAGCCGTGGTGGGAGTTTTGCATCCGGCAACTCCGAGTTGGGGCGTGCTTGAGGCCCTGCAAGTTATTCCCGCAGGCTGTCTAGGCTGATACTTCTTCCATGGACAGCCATATTTCTTGGAGAGCGTACAAAACTGTGTCTCTTTTTGACTTGTCCCATTTGCAGAGTGCCGCGAGTCGAGATCGGATTTGGGCGCATGAGCATAGAGCCTCATCGGTTTAACGTGTCCGGATGCTCGGTCTGCCGCGCTGGGCGATTGCAGCCGCACGCGGGCAGACACACTTGAAGGGGTCATTGAGATGCTTCACATGTGACTTGTGACACTGCTGCAGCAAGATAAGATGTCGTAGTCAGCTGGTCGTGGCATTTCTTGTTTTTGCAATGCTTGAACACGGAACAGATTTGTGCCAAAGATCTGCAGGACGCTCAACCAGCCGGCTTCGGTTTCTCCTACAGTAGAAAGGGCGCATATTCAGAGTGCCGTACATGGGTCTCAAAGTCGGAGGCGGCGTGCCAATATGCAGAGTTTGCACTGCCTTCACGAGTCTCTTCATGCCTGTGGGTCCTTGTCATGCTTGCATGTCTTGAATGGGCTTGGTATTGCCATTGGGCAAGTCAGCTTGATGCATAGCGTGACGTTTGCCAGCGCCAGCTGCGCTTTGCCAGCATGTGTTGCGAAAGGCAGCAAGTAGTTGTCAGCGACTCAGCAAGAAGCGTCCTGCGATGGGCTGCGGTGATGTGCGATTGGCAAGCTGGTCAAGCTGCACAATCAAACGTGATTCCGGCAGGGGGCTAGTTCAACAACCTTTCCCTGAAGAATGTTCTGCTGCGCTGGTACACGCGGTGGATTCAGCATGACAGGACCCGTCGTACCGGTGCAAGAGCACAAGGCTGACTTCCCCGTGGGCTGGTGGCTGTGGGAATCAGTGTGCGGCGCGCTGTCATACTTCTTCCCCAGTTTCCATCCATCAAGGCCAGATGCACTGCGAGCAAGATTGCCCGCCGCTCCCGCTGTGTTCGGCATCGCGGCATCGCGGCATCGACGCGTTAGATGCAAGTAGCACAGACAAGCAACGCACACGTGTGATGCTCTCTCCTCGCGCCACGGCAATGTTTGAAGTCTTTGCAGAGTGACCGATTGGAAGACCTCTGCCTTTTTGTCTTCGCATGTGGTGGGATGCTGAAGTGTGGCAGCATCGCAAGTTGCCGGAGTGGGCTTTGCTCCTCATCCCCGCTGAAAGCGGTTGATGCACTCAAAGCTTTCAGGATGCATGCCTTGCAGGCTGCACTCCAAGCAAAGGTGCAGATCTTTGGCAAAATCTTCCGCTTTGCATCTTGAGTGAGCCAGCCCGCTGCACGGATGATGCACAACCTTGGTGCTTGTTGGAAGAGCGCTGGGACTCCTCTTAGTTGCTGCGGCTGACTCGAGACCTCGCACAGTGCTCCACGTCAACGGCTTTGTGGTGCCAGTGAAGCGCTTTGCTTTCAGAGAGACAGCTTGCAAGAGAGTAAGTAACCGTCGCTGGAGCGTCCTGTACAACGAAGCCAACATGCGTTTAGTGGCTTCAGAATCGAGAACTCGGACTTTCGGACACTCTGGCACAGCCGTGGTGGGAGTTTTGCATCCATCAGCTTCCAATCGGGGCGTGCTTGAGGCCCTGCAAGTCATTCCTACAGGTTATCTGGGCTGAGCCGAGAGTGATCATTGTGAGACCTCCGCTCAGGCAAGCCTGTTGAGATCACGCAGCTATTTTCTCACATAGCTTGCAGAGACCGGCTTGGCTTCGTTTTCAGAGAGAAAGTTTGCAAGAGGGCCGTGATGGAGAAACATGGATTTTGCTCTATGACAAGCTCGTCCATCAGTAGCAAGCCTCCCATAGTGGATTGGCTCCGAGTTGTTTTATTTTGAGACTGATAGCTTGGTCGTAAGAGGACCTTTTTCTCTGCAAGTTGAGATGCCTGGAATGAATTGCCAGGCTGAATGACGCAGCGGCTTCTGCAGCTTTTGCTAAAACTTAGCAGAGTGCGTATGCCCTGTACAACGAAGCTAACAGACTTTTAGTGGCTCCAGATTCGAGAACTCTGACAATTTGCCACAGCCGTGGTGGGAGTTTTTCATCCCCCAACTGGCAGGTCATTCCCACAGGTTGTCTAGGTTGATACTTCTTGCATGGACAGCCATATTTCTCAGACAGCCCATCTGCGCCAGTTGTCCCATGTTTGCCGAATGTCGCAAGTCGACCACATCGGATTTGGCAAGACAGGGCAGAGAGGCTTAGTGATATTGGAGATAGTTAGCATCATAAATGAGCCCCACATGTCAGGGATGTCCTTTTCACGTGGGGCAAGCGTTGGTGTAGGACCTAAACATAGCTATAACTCTAGGGCACACCTTAGCTGATCCAAGTTTCCCCATCTGATGAGCAAGGGACATTGTTCATTCCCGACGTTAGATCCAAGTCCAGCGCCAAGCGTGTCCAGCACTTGTGCAGCACCCGCTGCCCCCCGCCCCATTTCTCATACAACGGGCGACGGGTGCTCATGTCCAAGGGGCGTTCGCTCTCCCGATTCTCAGTTTTATCCAACGTTCACAAAGGACATGTCGAGTTTCGTTCGAATCCGAAATGAAAGAACGGAAGTTCTGGCGTTGTTCTTTGGATGGAATAATGATTCATGGGAAGAGTTTCCTTGCAGGAGAGAACGATGCCTTTGGGAAAAGACGATGCTCTCGGGGGAAGAACGATGCAGCTGTGCATGGTTTGTTTGATTGCCCGCACAACTTGAGCAGAAAGCAGATTAAAAGATGGGAATATGAGCCGTAGAGCAACTTGGAGTCGTCCAAGCGAAGTCCGTGGTAAGACAACTTGCTCTAAAGATTTGCCTAGAACTCAGAACTGATCTTGGGGCAGCCCAGTCCCGAAGTCAGGCCTGCGGTGCGAACAGGGATTGAGAACGCAAAATCAGTGCCCAGCCGGAGCACTTGATATGTCTGGCAAACCGGTTTGCGCGTGTCTAATCTCATTGGCCCCTCCTGCTATGAATGTGTTTCTGGCCTGAGCAAATCGAAGGCTCAGAAAGAAGCAGGCCAGTCAGTGTCAAAATGAAGGCAAGGACAGCCCCGATGTGCTGAGCCTCTTGAAGTCACGCTCGCAAAATGTCAAGCAAAGTGCTGAACTGCAGCCACACAAGGCCCATGCCGCAGCCGCCTGGAAATCGCTGCAAATGTCGCGTTGATACGTCTATGATTCAATTGAGCCTTGTCACTAGCTGCGTCGCCTGCAACAGCTTGTGCGCCTTCTTCTAGGCAGCAGGACTCCGGTTCAGTCATGACAGACACTCCTTGCTGACCGAATCCTCTTGGCTTTGTTCATTAATGCTCCTGCCAGAGCCGTGAAGTTGCACGGCGAGGCCCACTTCAGCCCATGAGCATAGGGCCTCATCGGTTTAATGTCTCCGGATGCTCGGTCTGCCGCGCTGGGCGATTGCAGCCGCACGCGGGCAGACGCACTTGAAGGGGTCATTGAGATGCTTCACATGTGACTTGTGACACTGCTGCAGCAAGATAAGATGTCGTAGTCAGCTGGTCGTGGCATTTCTTGTTTTTGCAATGCTTGAACACGGAACAGATTTGTGCCAAAGAACTGCAGGACGCTCAACCAGCCGGCTTCGGTTTCTCCTACAGTAGAAAGGGCGCATATTCAGAGTGCCGTACATGGGTCTCAAAGTCGGAGGCGGCGTGCCAATATGCAGAGTTTGCACTGCCTTCACGAGTCTCTTCATGCCTGTGGGTCCTTGTCATGCTTGCATGTCTTGAATGGGCTTGGTATTGCCATTGGGCAAGTAAGCTTGATGCATAGCGTGACGTTTGCCAGCGCCAGCTGCGCTTTGCCAGCATGTGTTGCGAAAGGCAGCAAGTAGTTGTCAGCGACTCAGCAAGAAGCGTCCTGCGATGGGCTGCGGTGATGTGCGATTGGCAAGCTGGTCAAGCTGCACAATCAAACGTGATTCCGGCAGGGGGCTAGTTCAACAACCTTTCCCTGAAGAATGTTCTGCTGCGCTGGTACACGCGGTGGATTCAGCATGACAGGACCCCCAGAGCTATGCGTCAGATAGAAGATTGGTCGTACCGGTCCAAGAGCACAAGGCTGACTTCCCCGTGGGCTGGTGGCTGTGGGAATCAGTGTGCGGCGCGCTGTCATACTTTTTCGCCAGTTTCCATCCATCAAGGCCAGATGCACTGCGAGCAAGATTGCCCACCGCTCCCGCTGTGTTCGGCATCGCGGCATCGCGGCATCGCGGCATCGACGCGTTAGATGCAAGTAGCACAGACAAGCAACGCACACGTGTGATGCTCTCTCCCCACGCCAACGGCAATGTTTGAAGTCTTTGCAGAGAGACCGATTGGAAGACCTCTGCCTTTTTGTCTTCGCATGTGGTGGGATGCTGAAAGCAGTTGATGCACTCAGAGCTTGCAGGATGCATGCCGCGCAGACTGCACTCCAAGCAAAGATGCAGATGTTTGGCAAAGTCTTCCACTTTGCATCTTGAGTGAGCCCCGCTGCACGGATGAAGCACATTTGTTGGAAGAGTGCTGGGACTCCTCTTAGTTGCTGCGGCTGACTCGAGACCTCGCACAGTGCTCCACGTCAACGGCTTTGTGGTGCCAGTGAAGCGCTTTGCTTTCAGAGAGACAGCTTGCAAGAGGGCAGGCATAATCGAGTGCTGAGCGTGATGAAGAAACGGAGAGTTTGCTCAACACCAAGCTCGTTTATCAGTAGTAAGCCTCCCACAGGGGATTGGCTCTGAGTGGTCTCATTGTGAGACTGATAGCTCCCGCAAAATCATTACCTTTGGTAAGTTTTTGCAGAGAGCCGACAGCTTGGTCGTAAGTGGAACGAAGAATGACCCGCACTTTCCCAGGCTTTTGCGACTTGCTTCCAAAGCTTGCAGATTGTTAAGAATGTGTTCAGCATGCGACGGAGTAAGTAACCGTCGCTGGAGCGTCCTGTACAACGAAGCCAACATGCGTTTAGTGGCTTCAGAATCGAGAACTCGGACTTTCGGACACTCTGGCACAGCCGTGGTGGGAGTTTTGCATCCATCAGCTTCCAATCGGGACGTGCTTGAGGCCCTGCAAGTCATTCCTACAGCTTATCTAGGCTGAGCCCGAGAGTGATCATTGTGAGACCTCCGCTCAGGCAAGCCTGTTGAGATCACGCAGCTATTTTCTCACATAGCTTGCAGAGACCGGCTTGGCTTCGTAATGCCAGCGAAGCTTATTGCTTTCAGAGAGAAAGTTTGCAAGAGGGCCGTGATGGAGAAACAGGGATTTTGCTCTCTGCCAAGCTCGTCCATCACTAGCAAGCCTCCCACTGTGGATTGGCTCTGAGTTGTTTTATTTTGAGACTGATAGCTTGGTCGTAAGCGGACCTTTTACTCTGCAGGCTGAGATGCCCGGAATGAATTGCCAGGCTGAATGACGCGCACTTGCACCGTCTTCTGCGATTTTCGCCAAGACTTAGCAGAGCGCGTATGCCCTGTGCCAACAGACTTTTAGTGGCTCTAAATGCGAGAACTCTGACTTTCAGACAATTTGCCACAGCCGTAGTGGGAGTTTTGCATCTGGCAACTCCGAGTTGGGGCGTGCTTGAGGCCCTGCAAGCTATTCCCGCAGGTTGTCCAGGCTGATGCTTCTTCCATGGACAGCCATATTTCTTTTAGAGCGTACCGAACTGTGCTTTTGCACTTGTCCCATTTGCAGAGTGCCGCGAGTCGACATCGGATTTGGCACGATGAGGAGATTCAAAGTGACATTGGAGGTGAGTATCAGAAATGAACCCCAGATGTCAGAGCTGTTGTTAAAGTCACGCTTGGCTTGAAGTGCACGACTAGCCTAGCATGGCGCAATCTTGCGTGCCTGCCGGCGCTCCTGAAGCTAGTGCACGCGTCTCGTCGGTCCCGCCGTGTGCATGGCATGGCATTGACCTGGTGTTCCTGTGCCACGGCGCGCTGACGACAGTGCGGTGTTCACTGCTTGCAGAGAGGACGACTCAAGGCTTGCAATGAGCGTGGCATGGTAAGTTGCTCTCGGTTTAGCTCCCTTGCCCAACTTGGCAACACAGCACTGGCTTTGTCAGGCTGTCTGCTCAGATGAGCGCCCGAATTCGCAAGGAGGTTTCCACGGAAGATGCGACGAGGAGGGACCATGTGGCATGTTGACAAGCGACACCGTCCTTTTGTTGCAGGTTCCCCGCGTGCACCACAGTTTTCATTTGGTCCGTCGGTCTACCGTGTCATGGGCTGGTGGGTGAGATGTTGCATAGCGGCTGCAGTTTGTTCCCGAATCATTCCGAGATTCGCGCTTGCGCGCTTCTTGCACGCAAACAGTCCCAAGCCCATGTCCCCTGTCCGTTCAGCGGTGCAAACGGGAAGCAAGGGCTTACGCACGGCGTCCACATCTTGTTGGCAAAACTTGGCCCAGACGCACGAAAGAAACAAGTATCAAAGCGAAACATCCCAGCACAGCTCAACCACACAATCAGGGAAGCTTACACAGGTTCTGGCATTCAGGCAATCAGCGAAGAGCATGCTTTCAGGCAAGATGTCATTGCCCAAAGAGACATGCCGCACTAGCAGCTGGGCATGCCAGCATGCGTTTTCTGAGCATTGTAGAAAGGTTCCTGTGACAGCTTGCACGTTGCGTTTCGAGATTCTACGTGCGAGGGCCACAACTTTGGCTGGCTGATCTGGTGTGGCGAGAAGCCCATTCCCTGTCAGCTTGCATTCAAGAGAACGCATTGCCGCACTTGGAACTGCAACATGATGCAACACAACAGAGACCTGATGATCCGGCAAGTTTCCTGGGTCTTCTCCACGTGTGTGCTGTTGAACCATCGACAATGCATGTGTTGAGGCAGTCTTGCCGGGCAAAGCGGCATTTGTTATCCACCCTTCGCCCACCAGTTTGACAGTCGTTACAGCCAGAACCGTCGGAACAGTCGCTGAATCGCAAAGCCTTGAATTGGACTTCTCATCTTTGAGTCCACTAAACCTCAAGGCTTCTCTTGAGTGCAAGACTGCAGAGAGTACCCTGGCATTTGTCGTGCGAATTGCTAGTTGTTACCTGACAGTGGGCCTTTGCCCTCAGGGCTGCACTTTGCACGACCATGCCTACTGTTGGTTGACCCGAAGTTTAGGAATCAAGCATCCGTGAGGATGTGAGCGCGGGCCCTGATTCGAAGTTTGGCTCAGATGCGCCAGTCCGTCAGCATCAGGGATCCTGATTGCCCCCGTATCGCGTGAATGCATGGCCTCTTCGGGGCAAGAGCTCTCAATGGACTCCGCGCTGTTGAACTGCAGCGCTGCTTAAGCTGCTGTCAGCGCCAGGTATCCAGAAGCAGTTTGCAGCGTTTGCCCGCAACAAAAACAGCAGTAGTCAGGAGATGCCTCACCTGACTGCCGTTGCTTGCACTTATGAGCACAAGTGAGTCCGGGCGAACTGCGCGGGCATGTGTTCTTTGAACTGTCTGCGCAACTTTGCCAAGACGACCTTTTCAGGCAGCTTTCCAAAAGCCGTGGCTACCGTCTGAGGGTCTAGGACTTTGCGCTTGCGCGTGATCGCGGATTCTGTTTGGTCAATTTGTGCAGCTCTGGCAAAGAGCTCTTGTGGCAAAGAGGTTTGTAAGTAGGAAGTGACTTCCTATACTTGAAGCTGTCATTTTTGAGATTTCTTGAGTGCGGCTGAGACATCTGCCGCCTCAAATGTGAGCTCACGGACAAGGTCATCCGCTTTCAATTGGTTGCCCTTGTCGCAGCTTTTACTCAAAGCAACCAAGACATCGGAAACTCGCAGTCACGCGTGCCAAAAGAAAAGCACAAGAGTTTCCTCCTCCAGTTTGGGAATTGCCTGTCGAAGACAGGTGGTCTGGGGCTGCCGCCAGCGCAGTTGGTGAGGAGTGTAATGCCTCGGGCAGTTGCCAGGTGAGCATCAAGAGAAGGCTCCAAGTCGTCAGAACCTCAATTTGATTCAGGGCAGCCAGGCGCAGAGGCCTCGTAAATGCCCCGCCAAGTGCCATGCAACATCAGCTAGTGGTCAGCATGGAATTCTGTGTGCCGATTCACTGAGGGCCGAGATTCTCGGGCTTGCTCACGGTGTGCGTCCAGTCACGTGAAGCACCTAGTCTTGCTTCGCCGGCAAGGAGCCAGGCGAGCCAGGGGTGTCCGTGAGTCCAGGTTTGCAAGTTCAAGTTCGTTCTGGACGAGTCCCTGCGAAGGACTTTGATTGTGTCAAGCTGAGCAAAGGCTGAGCAACGATGGCGATGTTTGCACGCCGAGTCTCCAGTGGATGATCGGATGGGTAGCGCGACTGCGCGGCTGGCATCTCCAATAGCACACTGCCGTGCGGACATGCCGGCTCGTTAGTGGTGAGCGCAGCTTCACGGCTTCTGCGGCACTGTGCGCGCGGGTGGCCGTGCCATGGCCTATCCAAAGCGTCGGTGCACCTAGCGGAAGACTCTGCCCTGAGCATTGCGGGATTTCTGAAGACGGCATGCTGAAGATGACCCGAGTCCGGGCGTACTGGCAGCTCCAGACCTGCGTATGGCGACATGCCGGTGTATGGGCTTCGTCCCAGGCTTGACAAGAAGCTGCGCTTCGCAGCATAGGCCAGCACAGCAGCAAGCAAAACCGAGCTGACATAGCGGCCGAGGAGATGTTGACTAGTATGCCGTCAAAGCAAAGCCGCTTGCGATCTGCCGTGTTGCTTGCGTAACCGAATATCTGCATGGATGCTATCAGATCCAGTCGTGGCTTCAGTTGACTGTATACCGGGCAAAGCTTGAAGCCCCCCATTTGAAGGCAGCAAGTACTAGGCAGTTTTCATGGTCGTCCACCTGAGCCGTTCTCCTCGTGTTTCACGCAGCTTCTGCCCACCTCAGATGGGCAGAGCGTGACAGTCACGCTGCCCTGGCAAACAGTCGGAAAGTTTTAGAAAGAGGGTAGAGGAAAACGCTCGGGGGATCCAATTGGTTATGGGGCTGTGGTAAGTGCATACTTTTGACGTCACTTGGCAGATCTGAACCGCCGTGAAGTGATAGGTGTTTCCAGGCCATTGGAGAGTGCCTGTTCTGGCAGTTTGCGGCACTTGTTGCTTGTACTTCATGCACCCCGAACCGTTCAGACCGAGCTGACCCGAAGGAGCGAGTTGCCGTGACGACTTTCAGTACTGCTGCCTCCATGTTCAAGACCATGACCTCCAGCCATACCAATGCGTTGTTTCACTGAATGGTGTGTATCACGTGGTTATTGAATTCGCGATTTGCATAAGGTCTGTGCAGAAGAATGTTTTGTTACTGGTTGACAAACCAGTGGCACCAACAGACATGGCGACATGCCGGTGTATGGGCTTCGTCCCAGGCTTGACAAGAAGCTGCGCTTCGCAGCATAGGCCAGCACAGCAGCAAGCAACACCGAGCTGACATAGCGGCCGAGGAGATGTTGACTAGTATGCCGTCAAAGCAAAGCCGCTTGCGATCTGCCGTGTTGCTTGCGTAACCGAATATCTGCATGGATGCTATCAGATCCAGTCGTGGCTTCAGTTGACTGTATACCGGGCAAAGCTTGAAGCCCCCCATTTGAAGGCAGCAAGTACTAGGCAGTTTTCATGGTCGTCCACCTGAGCCGTTCTCCTCATGTTTCACGCAGCTTCTGCCCACCTCAGATGGGCAGAGCGTGACAGTCACGCTGCCCTGGCATACAGTCGGAAAGTTTTAGAAAGAGGGTAGAGGAAAACGCTCGGGAGATCCAATTGGTTATGGGGCTGTGGTAAGTGCATACTTTTGACGTCACTTGGCAGATCTGAACCGCCGTGAAGTGATAGGTGTTTCCAGGCCATTGGAGAGTGCCTGTTCTGGCAGTTTGCGGCACTTGTTGCTTGTACTTCATGCACCCTTTACCGTTCAGACCGAGCTAACGCGAAGGAGCGAGTTGCCATGACGACTTTCAGTACTGCTGCCTACATGTTCAAGACCATGACCTCCAGCCATACCAATGTGTTTTTTCACTTAATGGTGTGCATGATGTGGTTATTGGATACTGTGCAGAAGAATGTTTTGTTACTGGTTGACAATCCAGTGGCACCAGCAGACATAGCGACATGCCGGTGTGTGTCCTCCATCCGTGCTCGCCAAGAGGCAGCATTGCGTGTTGTAGATAAATTGCGAGCTTGTTGATATGGGCTCCACGTGTACAAGCAGTAGGCTCTCCAGGCAGCCTGTGTTTGGTGCCAGCTGCTTCAAGCAGGTTCTCAGATTCAAGTTTGCTGAGTCCGTAGTATGGCCCCCGCGCCACTCAAAACGCAGCTTGTCAACATGCCGTTCTGCCTTTGGCAGTCTCCGAAGCCAAGAGTTTGGCGGTTTCACCGTTGATGGTGGTACCAATTGCAAGGTCGCAACATATCAGACTCGCAGCATATACCTGGCAACAGCACAGCATGCCTGTTATGGCAACGTGCATCCGCAAAAGCGAGAGCTGTGTCGCCTTGTACGCAAAAACAACACATGCAGGTGGTCAGGTGCTGCTGCCCCGGTAATCATGCTTTAGTCTATGCAGCACATTCAGCAACAAGACGCGACGATCGAAGGCGAATGATTCTCACTGTTGACTGAACGTGTAACAGAGCACCTCGTTTTGAGCTGTAGCAAAATTCAGGTCACCTTTTGCCAGGGGGGCGTTCGGCGGGGGAGAAAAGCACCGTCAGCCAATTTGACGTGCATCTCAAAGATGGGCGGTGAAGATCGGTGAACACATGAGCAGGATCTTGGAACTTCTGAATCTTCACTCGACGACAAGGTCAGCTGCCAAACCCAAGTTCAAGATGCGACACTCGGCTGGCCTTAGGCGACATGTGGGCGTCGCCGTGCCGACATCACATCACCTGCATCACCTGCACTTGTCATATTTGTGGCCTGTGCTGGTTTAAACGGTTTAAACCTGAATCTTGACATGGCAGCAGTTCGTTTGTCACTCCAGCTGATCCAGCTGACAGGAGTTCACTGGGAGGTTGAAACCGCCTTTGGACAGTGGAAAGGAAGCCTGCAACTGTTCAGGCCAAATGCTCGCAAAGGAAGAGGTCAAAAGATACGTCCCGCCTCGGGCTGCGTTGCGCGTGGCCAATCAGCGGTGCAAAGCTGGCCAATCTCATCTCAACTTCGCAGGATCCGTTGCGGACTTCTGCATCTCTTAGGAGTGAAGCAAGGAAAGGCCTAGCATGGCCCAGGCGTATGGCAGCTCGGAAGTCCTGCCTTGAGATCTCGTGCCGTCACCGCACCTGCGCGGCGCACCGGCACGGAGCCCACGGAGTCCAGAGTCCTTTCGCAGAGTGACCACCGTTGCAGTGCAGAGTGCGTGAAGAGTCCTGTCTGAAACCGGGGGCCTGACTTGCATGTCACGCATGCATGGAGTAGGGCTGTGAGCCTGCGCGGCGACGGCGGTGGACCTGTGCAACCTTTGTAGCTTCACTGCCATGCCTTTTGTATCACAGATATGCCAGATGTGCATCGAGCTCTCTCAGAACATCGAATGCCGTGGCTCGGCACCCCTTGCTGCTTTGGCCAGAGAGCTGTACTGGATCTCTCGGTACGATGAGACGTTCCAAGATAGGGTTTGCCATTCTGGGAACGGGCGGATATCCGGACAGTGCTTCGCTTCTGCATGTTGGACTGGTCGAGTGAACCTTGAGCAGCTGTTGAAGATTGTGTCAAGGCCTGCCTGTGACCAGTTTTATCCAAGCCATGCGGTGGGGCATGTTTACTTCACCGCGAAAAAGGACCAAGGCTTGGCAACGCCCTAGCATTGCTGTAGCACTGCTAGTGCTACTACCCGGTTACAATGGTATGTGGGTAATCCAGGGGGCACTTGTCTCGCCAAAGCCATGGGCCGGAGACATCCGAAGGGTCGTGTTGCGAGTTCATTCGAGTGAACATCTAGGCGCTACCAACTGAGTTGTATGTGCCGAAGTGGCACGTGCCATGAATGGCCAAGACGAAGCAATGCAAGAGTCGGTTGTGTTTTGCCAGATTCGACACGCGCTGGTTGCCATGCTGGCGGTGGTACATCTTTCCAGGAAGGTCCGTGGCACATTTGGCCTTTCACACAATGCCCAGACCTCCTTCAAATTGCATTTGCGTCCGGGCCGCTGGTGCAACTTGCCAATTCTTCAGCAAGAAAGACGCTATTCGAAAGGTGCGTGAGGTAGCATGAATCCACAGCGTACGCACACGCCCGCCATCAAGCTTTGCTTCTGGAGCACAATGTGCCCAATGCACAGCAGGAAGCAAGAGTTTCTTGCTGGCGGTTTGTCAGAGCAATTCTCGCACTGATCCTTGTGTGACCTTCGGTTATCTCACTTTTGACTTTCTTGCCCGCTGCAGCGAGCCGTCAAAGTGAGTGAGCTGGCCGCCCAAAGCTAGATGCATTTGGTTTCTAGCAGTCGTACATCACATTGCGATTTGGCGATCCCGAGGTGTTGAAGTGTGTGGGACCCAAAGCAAAAGGGGACAGGAATGGCAACCAACCCGTGTCGAACACTGCGAAAGCCAGCTGCCTGGTGCTGAGGTAGCGCGCGCATTATTCAACAGCGTGCGCAGCCTGCCATCAAGCCTTGCTTCTTGAGCACAATGTGCCCTATGCGCAGCATGAAACGCGAATTTCTTGCCGGCGGTTTGTCGTATGAACGCTCGCGCTGATGCTTGTGTGCCCATTGGTTTTGTCAAGCCTTCGAGGTGCATGAGTTGGCCGCCCACAGCTAGATGCTGTTGGATTCTAGAAGTCGTCCATCACATTGCGATTTGGCGATCCCGGAGTGTTGGAACGTGTGCAGCCCAAAGCACAAGGAGACATGTGCTCGGAATGAATTGCCTTTGCACATTTCCGGGCCGCAGGCAAGCTGGCTGGAAGGCAAGGCCGACCTTACATTTCAAGAGGTTGATGCAGGATCATGCGCCATGGGTGAGCTTGGGTTGAAAGCTTGCCAAGCCAAGTGCGGCCGAAGCACCTCTGCAAGTACATTGAAATCATGTTCTTTGGGTTCTGTGTCTTAGATTCCTCGGCTGTAATGGGGCAATAGTATCTGGACTGAATATGCATTCTCACGACTCTTGTCTTGCCCACACCTGACTTTCAGGTAAGGTGCTCTCGCAATGCAGGCAATCAGATGGCGTCACGAATGGTCAAGATCACGCGCCATGACTTGAGTTAAAAGCTTGCCAGGCCAGCTGCGGCCGAAGCACCTCTGCAAAGATCTTGAGGTCATGTTCTTTTTCAGAATCTAAGCTTGTGTTGCGGGCGTGCCTCTAAACGCAGCTGTTTGGCGCCTTTCAATGGCAACCAGCCCTTGTGGGGAATTGGACATATACGATTACCTTTGTACAATTCCAGCACGCAGGCAAGCTGGCTGGAAGGCAAGGCCGACCTTACATTTCAAGAGGTTGATGCAGGATCATGCGCCATGGGTGAGCTTGGGTTGAAAGCTTGCCAAGCCAAGTGCGGCCGAAGCACCTCTGCAAGTACATTGAAATCATGCTCTTTGGGTTCTGTGTCTTAGATTCCTCGGCTGTAATGGGGCAATAGTATCTGGACTGAATATGCATTCTCACGACTCTTGTCTTGCCCACACCTGACTTTCAGGTAAGGTGCTCTTGCAATGCAGGCAATCAGATGGAATCAGGAATGGTCAAGATCATTAACCATGGGTGAGCTTGAGTTAAAAGCTTGCCAGGCCAGCTGCGGCCGAAGCACCTCTGCAAAGATCTTGAGGTCATCTAAGCTTGTGACGTGGGCGTGCCTACAAACGCAGCGGTTTTGCGCCTGCTGTGGGATGCAGGCGTCTCTTGCAAGCTTTCCTTAACGAACTGTGCGCAACCTAGGGCAAAAGGGAACCACTCAAAAATGGCAACCAGCTCTTATCAATCATTACGAAAGCCAACTGACCTGGTGCGTGCGGTCAGAAGTTGGACATATGCAAATTGATTGCCTTTGCAAAATTCTGGCAGTCAGGCAAGCTGGCTTGAAGACAAGACCGACGCGGGATCATGCGCCAAGTGAGCTTGGATTAAAGGCTTGGCAAGCCTGCGGCCAAAGCACCTCTGCACATATCTTGAGATCATGTTCTTTTTAGAATCCAAGACTTTGACGTAGGGCGTGCCTCTAACCGCAGCGGTTTGACGCCTTTTGTCGCTTTGCTTAAGGGACCGTATGAAGCCCGGGGCAAAAGAGAACCACTCAACAGCGAAAGCCATTTGAGCTGGTGTTTGAGGTCAGGAAATGGGCATATTCTAATTGCTTGCCTTTGTACCATTGCGGCACGCAGGCAAGCTGGCTTGAAGACACGACCGATCAAAAATTTTCGAGGTTGAATCATGCGCCATTGGTGAGCTTGACTTAAAAGCTTGCGTGGCTAGGCCAGCGGGCGAACCGACTTTGCAAAAATATTGACATCATGCTCTTTGGGTTCTGTGTCTTAGGTTCCTCGGCAGTGGTGTAGGACGTGCCTCCAAACGCTGAGGGCTTGCGCTTGTCGTGGGATGAAGGCTCCTCCTGCTCGCAAGCTTTCCTTAACGGACCTTGTGCGACCAGGGCAAAAGGGAACCATTCAGCAATGGCAACCAGCTCTTGTCGAACATTGCGAACGCCATTTGAGCTGGTGCGTGAGGTCAGAAATGGGACATATACCAATTGATTGCATTTGTCCAATTCCAGCACGCAGGCAAGCCGGCTTGCAGACAAGACCGACCTCACCATTTAAGAGGTTGATGCAGGTGACATCAATATCATCTTCTTTGGGTTCTGTGTCTTAGATTCCTCGGTAGTGGTGTAGGACATGCCAATAAACGCTGCGGGCGTGCGCCTGCCGTGAGATGCAGGCGTCTCCTGACCGCAAGCTTTCCTTAACGAACTGTGCGCAACCTAAGACAAAAGGGAACCACTCAACCATGACAGCCCGCTCATTTCGATCAGTGCGAAAGCCATTTGAGCTGGGGTTTGAGGTCAGGAAATTGTCATATTCTAATTGCTTGCCTTTGTACCATTGCGGCACGCAGGCAAGCTGGCTTGAAGACACAACCGACCTCACAATTTTCGAGGTTGAATCATGCGCCATTGGTGAGCTTGACTTAAAAGCTTGCGTGGCTAGGCCAGCGGGCGAACCGCCTTTGCAAAAGTCTTGACATCATGCTCTTTGGGTTCTGTGTCTTAGGTTCCTCGGCAGTGGTGTAGGACGTGCCTCCAAACGCTGAGGGCTTGCGCTTGTCGTGGGATGAAGGCTCCTCCTGCTCGCAAGCTTTCCTTAACGGACCTTGTGCGACCCAGGGCAAAAGGGAACCATTCAGCAATGGCAACCAGCTCTTGTCGAACATTGCGAACGCCATTTGAGCTGGTGCGTGAGGTCAGAAATGGGACATATACCAATTGATTGCATTTGTCCAATTCCAGCACGCAGGCAAGCCGGGTTGCAGACAAGACCGACCTCACCATTTAGGAGGTTGATGCAGGTGACATCAATATCATCTTCTTTGGGTTCTGTGTCTTAGATTCCTCGGCAGTGGTGTAGGAGATGCCAATAAACGCTGCGGGCGTGCGCCTGCCGTGGGATGCAGGCGTCTCCTGACCGCAAGCTTTCCTTAACGAACTGTGCGCAACCTAAGAGAAAAGGAAACCACTCAACCATGGCAGATCGTTGCGAAAGCCATTTGAGCTGATGTGTGAGGTCAGGAAATGGGCGTGTACTAACTGATTGCGTTTGTGCAATTCCGGCACACAGGCAGCACAATTTGAGAGGTTGATGGCAGGATCATTCGCCATGGGTGAGCAATCATCTGCGGCCGAAGCACCTCTGCAATTACATTGACATCATGTTCTTTGGGTTCTGTGTCTTAGATTCCTCGACAGTGGTTTAAGACGTGCCTCTTGTGCGCCTTTCGTGGGATGAAGACTTCTCCTGCCCGGAAACTTTGCTTAAAGCAGACTTTGACTGGATCCCGTGTGGTTCAAATGCAATGTCACAACCAACAGAGTGCCGGAGACAAGTGCTGTGCGACAAAAGCCGCGGTGCGAGAAGCTGTTGCTTTTGTGGTGGAGGATTTGGTGCGCTGCTGCTGCTGCTGCTGCTGCTGCTGTTGCTGCTGCTGCTACTGTTGTCGTGGTGGTTGTTGTTGTTGTTGTCGTCGTTGTCGTTGTCGTCGTTGTCGTCGTTGTTGTCGTTGTCGTCGTCGTTGTCGTCGTTGTCGTTGTCGTCGTTGTTGTCGTTGTCGTCGTTGTCGTTGTCGTTGACGTCGTCGTCGTTATCGTCCTTGTTCTCGTTGTCGTCGTTGTCGTCGTTGTCGTCGTTGTTGTCGTTGTCGTCGTCGTTGTCATCGTTGTTGTCGTTGTCGTCGTTGTCGTCGTGGTCGTCGTTGTTGTCGTTGTTGTCGTTGTTGTCGTTGTCGTCGTTGTTGTTGTTGTTGTTGTTGTTGTTGTTGTTGCCGTTGTCGTTGCTGCTGCTGCTGTTGCTGTTGCTGCTGTTGCTGTTGCTGTTGCTGTTGCTGTTGCTGTTGCTGTTGCTGTTGCTGTTGCTGTTGTTCTTGCTCTTGTTCTTGTTCTTGTTCTTGTTCTTGTTCTTGTTCTTGTTCTTGTTCTTGTTCTTGCTGTTGCTGCTGCTGCTGCTGCTGCTGCTGTTGTTGTTGTTGTTGTTGTTGTTGTTGTTGTTGTTGTTCTTGTTCTTGTTCTTGTTCTTGTTCTTGTTCTTGTTCTTGTTGTTCTTGTTGTTCTTGTTGTTCTTGTTGTTCTTGTTGTTCTTGTTGTTCTTGTTGTTCTTGTTGTTCTTGTTGTTCTTGTTGTTCTTGTTGTTCTTGTTGTTCTTGTTGTTCTTGTTGTTCTTGTTGTTCTTGTTATTCTTGTTGTTCTTCTTGTTGTTCTTCTTGTTGTTCTTGTTGTTGTTCTTGTTGTTGTTCTTGTTGTTCATGTTGTTG